CAACAAAGCTGCTCATATTCATTATTCCCTGACACCGTCTCATGACACCACTTTATCTGCTTGTAGTTGATTGAAATACTCAAAGCATTCCTGATGTGTCTGGAAAACATATATTAACTACTATAATTGGCCGATCTTAACTGGTCCAATGTGTCCATCTTTAAACTATAACGTCAAGACATTCATTAAAATTGTTGTTTTGCGAATAAATAAAAAATAAATGAAGAGGCACATCAGGTGAGATGTTTTAATTACCCAGATTTTGAGTGAAATCTCGTTGTGCAGATATGTTAAACAATCATACCTCAGAAGCCCCTCAGGCCCTGGTCTCAACTTTAATCAAATCAGAATTGTTTTTGATGCAATGTCTGTCTAACGATTTAAAATGCCAGTTACAGGTGCAGCAAAGTTACAGGAAAGATTGGGATCATTTAAGCTTCTAGCATGGATTAAGATCTTAATAGAAATGTTTTCTGCATAAGGATGTTTTTAGAAAGGGCAGAGAAAATACACTACACTCACTACTATCATCGATCTACATTTTCTTTCTCAATAGGCACAGACATATAATCATAGTTTTGAAATGATGAGTGAGTAACAATGGAAATCCATTTTCTGTCCAACTCACTGTGGATGCTCCGCAGTTCATTCATGAACCTGTTGGCTCTGTGGCTTCCAGTTTGGTTTTGGCCTGGCATACTTGTTGCATTTGGGATGTTAGTCTGGCTGAATGAGGAACTTGCTTCACCTCGGCGGTTCATTACCGATCAGAGTGACAGATCAGGGATTTGCTGTCAGAAAAAAAGAAAGAAAAATAGGGTTCAGCACAATTTTCCAACTTCACCCTTCAAACGAAGCAGAAACTGTCACAGCTTTAAATCTCGTGAAGTGTGCACTTTTGTTTAATGTAATTTGAAGAGCCCTTTAGAGTAGACAGCATGAAGTTCCCTTATAGTCTGTTGATCAAATATTTGATGCAATACAGTGCTTAGAAATGGAGTATGTACATCAGTGTCAAATAACTTCTCCTGTTTCTGCTGGCATCGCAAAAAAACACTTGAACACAGGATATGAAAGCTGCTGTCTTTGCCAAAGCTGCTGAAATGCAGTTAAGGGGGTATGGATGAGGGACTGGGGGTGGAGGGGTGTGAGGCACCACGTGTGGATCTCCGCTGTTCTACACTCAGCTGCCAGAGGTCAGAATCGTGTGCCAAGGTTACGCCAGCGCATTAAATGGTGCCAAAATCTGACGACCGAGCGCAGGAAATGTTAGGGGCTGTTATTTCCGATTCTGCAGAAATCACAGGTATTGAGTATCTGAGGCTGAATCAGCACCTACTTGCAGACACTGATCTCACTTTATTTCTCACTTTTTAGTTCTTTTAGAGCTTTAAATCATAATGATGGACAGTAAATGCTGCTTATACCTATAACACAAATAATGGAGAAGACGTTGCTGCTAAAATACATTTTATCTTATTATCTGCAAGCAATTAAATAGTTCATTTGATAAATCCTTTTTACATCTATTATGTAACTGTACCTAAGTGATTGTGGTGAAAAATAAAACATTTTCTACATATGAAACAGCATTTCTTCATAGTTACTATATATTTCTGACTTTATCTTAAGATTTTAGGGTTAGAGCTAAGTTGATACATGTTTTATATTTGTTACTTGTCAGTTTTATTAATATAATTTGATAAAAGAGATCTGATGAATAGTCTTTAAGCTTCATCTATGAGCGTTCTTAGAAAATAAGTTTTTCAAGATATGTAGAAATGAATAATAAAAAAAAAAAGATTTATAATTTTAAAATTCAAAAGAAAGAATAAAGACATACCTGTTCAAAAATGTTCCAAATGCAGTTTTATTTCTTTAAAATTTGAGGAGTTGGAATGAGGATGAAGGAAGAAGGAAAGAGCTTGATGTGTGGATCAGTTCGCTGCCTTGTATTTTTACATCTCACCACTCTTCAGACATCAAGCAAAGCAGAGCAGGTGTGTGAAGCTGGTTCATGAGGCAACAACAGGGAGGGTGGGGCAGGATGGAGTTGAGGATGAGTGCTTACTTATGTGTGAGGGGGTGTGTGTGGTCGTGAGACATAGCGCCTTTTCTATTGGGATGAATGTGTTCTTTTCCTATCCAATCAGGTATCGTGAAAGCTGTAGTCTTCATTCCTGATGCCTCACCTCTTGAGACCTCTTGTCCCATCCCTACAGGTCACCCTCACCAGGCCTCTGATGCATATTTATTAGTGTAGTGACATGGCTTTTTAAAACCTCGTTAGCATACTGAGAATTCAGCAATAGAGGGCATTTACATTCATAGTGGACAGCTCCCTATATGGTGTGTGTGCATGTGTGTGTGTTAAAGTGTGCATCTGACAGAAGCTGCAGAAATGTCTCATATGGTCTCTGTATAGTTGATGTAGCCTGATTTAGAAGCTTAGGATTTGGTTCCTGCGATAACAAACGGATCGGGTTCCTGCTCTCTCTAGTTCACCTTGACATTTCAATGTTACTGTAAAGAAGAATGATACAAAGAGGGGGGGATAGGTCAGGGGTGGGCTGAGAAAGACACAACACATGGAACAATAGAGGATAGAAAACCACACGCTATCTGTATCTTCTTTTACAACAATCTTTATAGATTAGTTTTGGAGAAAAACACAATAGTACTTTTTAAACTCTCAGTAAGGAGAGAAAAACACTGTTTGGTGAAAGCAAATTTTGAGATATAGCACAGGAAATTCACAGGAAATATAGCACAGGAAATTTACTCTATTATATAAATCACAATAATTTAGTGATTTATATAATAGAGTAAAAACAAACTACCACATAATGTCAAACAGATGGAAAATGATGTACATTTTTCTGCAGTGTTTAAAACAAAAAAAACCTCAAAGTTTGGACAGACATGTGAGACAATAGTCACCTTTTACTGCAATATCATCTTTTCGGCTTTCAGGATACTTCACAATCAGCTTTGCAGGTCTAACTGAGAATATTTTCTTCATTCTTCTTTGAAAAGTAGCTCAACCTTGGTTAGATTGAAGTCAACTGGTTTTACTGGGCTTTAATCAGAGTAAAGTTAATGAATTTAAAGATAATTAAAACAAATGCATGTTCTTTATTTCATACATTATAAAACTTAAAAGAAAAAACATGTATGATTTTCCTTCTACCAAAAATGTATGCTCCCTTTAAGATCAGACTTAATAGATTAAAATCCTTTATTTAAATGGTAAACAAGTTCAAAGAGTATGACCATATTTGCAAAGTAGAATAAACCCTGAAATAATGAAGACCCAAAATTAAATTTGACCACTATAGAGCACGGTAAACTGTGTCATAATAATAATAATATAAAAGGAACCTCAAACTCAACGCTACTCCTCACATTTTAAATTGAAAAAGCTTTTTGGTTGGGAAGCAAAACGTCTTCAAACTTTGAAACAAAGTCCAGTGGACTGTTTTTTAACTTTTTTTTTTTTTTGGAATATAAAAAGCAATGGTCGTTCAATTTTCTAAAAAACACAGAAACAAAGGATGTGCTGCATATATATCATTAATTTGTTAACCTTGCTTCACGTCTTTACTGAGTTTGTAGTAGTGATCTGATTATCAAGTAGCTATTTAAGAAGATGCATGGGGAAAAAATACTTACCAAAGTCACGCACTTTCTTTATTCAGTCGCTAGAGGGCAACCATTGAATCTCAGATCGACTTTATGAACCAAAGAGGAAGTCCTGTTTCCAGGCAACAGCAGAGGACTTCCTTTTGGACTGGAGCGTGAGTTTGTCATCCATTTGTTTAATTTTCTGATTTTTACATTAAGTTTCGGCCTTTTTTCCTATAATTTCTATTGTACAAGTTCATTTTTGTCTTTTTTAAGCCGATGCATTTAGTGTAACGGTTTGGCTAGTTGCTAATGTCGGAGTTATAATGTTCAAGGCAAACTAAAATGCAAATTTAATTGGATATAGAGGCAAAAGGCACTTTTTAAACATTCACCTCGTTGTTCTTCAACGTGACTTTATTAACAATTAAAATAAATAATTTGTTGTATGTTTTTGTTTTGTTTATTAAACCAAAATAACAAAACTACACGGTTTTTGCAGGTTGGGGCAAAAAAGAAAGAAAGGGAAAAAAAATTATATATATATATATATATATATATATATATATATATATATATATATATATATATATATAATATATATATATTTGTTTTTTTTAATTCATGTAAAGCAAAATTTTTCTTCAGTCAAAACCGTGATTGTGAACGTCAGTAATCATAACTTGAGTTTGACCTTTCTTCTGAGGCCTCTAATGGGACAAAATTAATGTATTTAAAAAAATATATTTTCTTTTTTGATATATGAATGTTAGAGAACTCTATATTACTCGGATCCACATTCTGTATAACAAGAATTCACTAATAATTCAGTATATAGTAGGGCTAAGCTTGGCTGTGTTTTCATTAATTTGCACTCATAATACAGTACAGCTCTCTATCAGCAGATCTGTATGGAGGAGTAATCATTACTGGTTGCTTTGCAGCTGCTGGCTTTGAGCTCTGATTGAAGTTTTTTTAGACGCTTCTGGTCCAGATTCTCCTGGAAAACCAGCTCCTCCTACAGTTCAAAGACATCTATGTTCTGTTTCCTGGTCTCTCTAAATGGCCCTTAAATGTAACAATGATTTTTCCTGTGGTCCCCTCCCTCTTCTGTAACCATGTTATAGTGTTTGGTGGGCTTATATGGATCTTTATAAATCCCAAAAGGGAAATTAAAAGAAAACCTGTGGAAGTTTTTGTGTTTTTATAACATAGTTCAGTTATATTATATTATATAATAGGCTCTTATTGTGTATTTCTTGATTTGCATTTTTATTCTGTATCAAATTAAAAAGGCTACAGGAAAAGCTAGTTAGAAAAAAGAAAACTTTAATGCAGTTTTGAACTTTTTTTTCATTATTACATTGTCTTTCTTAACATCTTAAGTCTCCACTGCCATGAATAATATCTGCTTATTCATCCTGATTTGTCTCATTAAGGTGATATTCAACTCCATCCAGAGTAATGCCCGCGAGTTTCCTTTCTAAGTTGGCAGCAGATCAAATGTCTGGGAGGAAGACCCAGTTCCTCTAATTAAATCATGTCCTACAAACCATCCTCAGCCCAACTCACTTTATATCTGCTTTGTTTTCATCTGAGCTGTATCCAGCGCGGTACACTTTCAGCGTCTCTGGATGAAATCCCTACATGCTGAGCTGTATCTAAAGGGTCTGCTCTAAGGCGAAACTTAAATGTTTTGGTGATTTTAATGCATTTTCCTTTTCATTTGCTGTGTAAGTTTACAAATGTCTGGTTTAAAAATATAAAATATTTCCCTCTTTTTAATTGCATTTTTTTCCCCCCAGGATTTTAAGATGCCGGAGTCGGGGGACCTCCACCTGAAACATGTCCTACAGTCAGTGTGTGCCCTAGAGTCCGTCATCCTTCGCAGTTTTGGCCCTGAAGGAGGACAGGTGCTGTTCACCCGTGACACAGGACAGTTGATGTTGAGCCGCAGCGGAAAACGCATCCTCACTGCTCTACATCTGGAGCATCCACTGGCCAGGTTAGGGAAAAAAAAAAGTAGTTTTTATATTTTGCACTTTTTCTTCCAGTCAATTCTGCTGCAACACTGTTTGTTCTTGCCTTACCAGGATGGTGGTGGATTGCGTCTGGAAACACAGCACAGCAACCGGTGATGGATCTAAAACCTTTGTTCTAATCCTTGCATCACTGCTGCGTTTGATTCAGGCTGCAGCCACTAAGGGAGCCCATACATCTCATTCTTATACCTCCACAGAAATGGCAGAAGCTGCCACTGCCAGACACTTGGCTGACAGACTGCTGGAATTTGCGTTGACTGAGTTGGAAGCACTCATTGCAGTCAATGTGTTGCCACATGGATTCTGTATTTCATTAGAGGAAGTTACAGAGAAATCGCAACATAATAGGAGTTTTCAAACCCTTCTTTTATCATTTTTTCATACACGCCTCGGTAGTGTGTATTGTGACTTTTTCAGGGACCTCACGTGTGAAATGCTCAGTCACTGGAGGGTAAAAGATCCCCGTCATTCATTCTCCATTCAGTTTTTAAACAACAATTTCCCAGCACTACATACCCAAGTATCAGGCTTCCCAGTTGGCTCCTCCCATTTGATAGAGGGGCAGGTGATTCACAGAGACTTTGCTACACCTTGCCCTCCAGTGAAAAAGCAACTTTTCAAAGCTGTGGTTTTCACTGGATACCTGCAGCCAAAAGTCCTCGCTGCAGGTGAAGTGCTTGAACTGGGCTGTGGAGACATGGTGACAAAGGACAGCAGCATTGTGCACTTTAGTTCCTGGACAGAGGGGTCACTGAAGAGCATAATTGCTTCTCTGCAGAGTTTTGGCGTCTCTGTCCTTTTGTGTGCGCTGAAACAGTCCCCTGCTGCCCTGGCTTTAGCAACACAGTCAGGGATGTGCATTGTGGAGTGTGTCAGTGAAGAGGAACTGTCTCTTTTTGCCCAACTCAGTGGGGTTACACCTGTCTCAGACTGCTGGGGGATTCAACCAGAGCACATCACAACCCTGACTTTCTGTAAACCTTTACAGCTTGGAGCCCACAGGTAGGTGCAGAGGATATAACTCTAAAGTCCCCAATTCCACATAAAAATACAACATTCTGTGACATTCAAACATGGGTTACACAACTATTTAACCCTAACCTATTGATCTTTTTTTTCTTTTTTCAATCACAACCTTTAATGTATGGTTAATATTTTGGGTGATAGATCAACGAAACACCCCCTTTAATTTAAAAAAATGGAAATAATAGTTATGTGGTGTATATTTTTATTTATTTATTTTTTTTACTTATCTAAATAGTTTTGAAAAACAACACTTTTTTGAACCACTTTTTTTTTTTTTTAGCAGTTAAAGCTTTCCTGGTCTGTTTCTACCAGCTTTGCACTGCCCAGTCAGACTAGAAGGAAGGGTTCTGGCGAGATGGTTTTTACAAAGACTCTTGATTTCAGTTAAAACTGAACTTTGACTGTGCCAATTTAAAACCTGATGAATAAGCTTTGATTTTTGACACTTCTTTGCAGTTCTGGGCACCTTATTAGTGTCATTATGCTACAGGAAGTCGAACCTCTATCCCACACTGCAAAAACAAAGTAAATGGATGAACAAATTTCTTAAAATAACTGTATTTATCCTTAATTAGGTAAATAAGATGATCTGCCAATGGAATTTGTATTTCTAGTACTCTAGTTTTTTACAGTGCAGTCCCAAGTGATTTTAGTCTCCTAACTTCTTTTAGCCCTGCATTGTATTTTACTCTATCCATCTTCCAGTCAGCTCTGACCTGTTTCCCTCACCCTGCTAAAGAAATGTATTCCGAAAGTGTACTGGAATAATTTTTCAAGACATTGTAATTCATTTTTCAACATTCTAATTAAAATATATCATTTTATTTTTAACAGATATGTTCATTTGGACTTCCAGGACTCTGAAGAAAGGCTCAACGTCAAACCTTGCAGCCTGGTGATTTGTGCTCCAGGGGAGGGGCAAACGGATCAGTATGCATGTGCATTTCAAGATGTGTTTCGAATGCTACTGACAGCATGGCCGCCCAGACGCGAGACTTACACCACAGGTTGTCAGAGAACCTTTCCATCCAATAGTTGCACATCTTTACATTCAGACGCTATAAGTGCTGGAACTGCATACACATTGTGCAGTGTGCATCCCAGTCAGAAGTGTGTGATAGAGCCAGGTTTTGTAATATCTGCAGGTGGGACGTTTGAGTTTCTGCTGAACCATGCCCTTCATCAATATGACCGCAGTTGCTCGGTTTCTGTTAACACAAGTGTAGTTGTTCCAGTTGCCCAGCTCTTGGCAGAAGCACTGTTGAGTGTGCCTCGGCTGATTTACTCTCACAATCTAAAACGTTTCCTGCAGGAACAAACCAGGGTCATGGCTTTAATTCCAAAACAATCCCACACCCTCAGTGCAAGCCTCAGACAGACTGAAGGTCCTCCTGAAGATGGTAAACTAAGCCTACACTCTTGTGAAAAGGGTAACATGGCATTGAAACTTTTGGACTCAGGCCTTGAATCTGTCTCTTGTAAGTATCATCTGGTTCTGGCTGTGCTGCAGTGTCTCACAAGTCTCCTCCGAGTGAACAAGGAGCTACGGATACACACAACTTTACACAGAAAATCCTTTAAACTCCTGAGCACCTGTTCAGAGAGTACAGAAGACGAAGAAGAAGCGTTGCTCTAGGAGGAAACTTGAACATTTTCACTCCAGAAATAGACTTTAAACATCATAGATGATAGTCCGTCTTTTTTATCTGTTTTTCTTTATGTTTTAATACAGTGTTGTCAGACTATAATGCTTTTGATATACATAGCACATTTGAATTACAGTAAATAAAAAAGTATTTTTTGTAGCCTTAATTAGTGATAAATTCACTAAAGCAAAGTTTGGCCAGAAAAATAAATGAAAGTTCATATTGTAGTGCTGCAACGACATGCTGAAATTGATTTAGTTCATACCAAAATGTAAACAACAAAATAGATATAGAATTGGTAGATAATTTACTTTGTTTCTACACTTTGTTTTAAGTGTCGAGCTGTACACTGAAATATTAAATGTTAATTCATGAAATCTTGTCCAATGACATTATCTTGCAGTGTGGATACATAAGTTGACTTGTTTTAAATACCTTTGCCCTTACATTTAGTATTTCTTCCTTGTTTTTAGACACAATTTTGCTGTAAAAGTAATAAATTCTGCCATATTTCACTGTTCCTTTTTTTTCTTTTGTCACAATCAGTTGCTTTACAGTTCGAGGATTATAATATTAAAGATAACCATAATAGATATAAACTAATTTCCTGCTAATCCCTGGTTGTACAAAACATGGTAACATCATCTGTTGTTTGTTATAACTGAGAATAAATCTTCTCTTTTGGAAACTGCTTTTATTTATTTCTGTACAGCCACAATGGAATGAGAAGCCCATTTAGGTTCTTGTGACTGTATCATAAACTGGATTTCAGTCAGGAGTTTGATTAGGCCCCTTAAAAACCAAAATTGGATGTTTAGGTCACAAACTAATGTCTGGACAAATTGCTCCTGGACAGTTGTCCTCCAGAGAGCATAATTCATGGTTGATACAGTTAAAACCGGTTGTTTGGGTTTTTAAAACAGCACACATTTTATCTTAAGTTGCAAGACACTAACAATGGATGTCCTCGAGAACACAGATTTAAAACCACAACAAAAACTTCACAATCTTTCTACAGATTTCTTGGTTCTACAGGTCTGGCAGAACCAGGCCTTGGTGTTGGTGTTAAATTCCACTTAAATTAAGTTAAAAAAAAAGAAGAAAGCTTTCATCACAGGGGCCAGGTTGGTTTGCAATCTTTCCTTAATAACATAATTCATTCGAAACCCCAATTTTTTGTTACTTATTCTGACTTTTTCTTTATCTGACAATGAAATTTGTTTGTTGAAAAGTGACAAAAATAGGAAACCTAGAGCAAATGGTTGTCATAGTTCTATAATCCTGTGAAACAATTTACTCTTGGGAACAGATAAATGCTGATGTTTATCTGCGTCATCTTTTATTTATTTTTCCAAAATGCCTCTTTCTTATCTTTGTTTTCCTACTGTATTCCTCTGGGCAGCACAGTGGTGCGCATTAAAGAAAATGACTGCCGTAACACCGTAAAAACACAACCTTTCAAATGCTAACATCAATCAACCTTATCTGTTCAGTAAGGTTTGGCAGCACCCAACTTTCAACAACCAAATCATTGTCTACTTCCTTGTGCTGCAATTAAAGGAAGGCTTCATCTATTTCACCCCTGTTTTTGGTAGAAACTGAGTCATGTGGTTATTAAATAGGCTCCTAATCTATTATGCAGCCCTCTGTTTACCTTTAGGTCTGTATCCTTCGTTTTCGGGCCACATTTTCCATAACTTAATTAAGACAAAGTGTCTTAGAATCAAAGGCAGCTCTTTTCTTTGTTTATGATCCTCATGAGTCAGTTGATTGTCCCCAAAATCAAAGTGGGAACAGATTGGGCGTGGATGTTTTGCTTTTCTGCACCCAAGTAAGCAAACTGAAAAGTGTTGCTGTTGGCTTTATTAGCACAGCTCGGTCCTTTCTAACCTATTAGCAGTGAACATCAACACTCAGTCGAATATTAAATTATTTAGCTGCAACATTTCTGTTGTCTGTATTTTTCATGTCTGGAAAAATACCAATCAGGGTGTCCTGCAAGTTTTTCAGATTCTGTTTTGGGCAAACAGGAAAAGGGACAGAAACAAAAGTTACAGGAAAACAGCATATGATGATTTTAGTTTTAGAGCACTGTTTCAAAAATGTCCATCGTTCTTTGTGTTCCTGTTTTTCTTCTTGCTTCATTCTGTCAGTCCCTTTACAGGTCTGTCATTCCTCACATCCTTGTACTCATCTTACCTTTTTTGTTCCTTTCATTCCTTTCCGCCATTTTTTGGCTTGTGTCCTTCCTCATTTTGTTGTGTCCATCCTTTTCACATTTTTCTCCTTCGTTTCTTTGAGTTGTGTCCAACCTCCTTTCTGTCTGTCCTTCTTTCTTTCCTTGTCTCTTTGTGTCCTTCTAACTTTGAATTCTTATGCCCTAAATCATTTTCTCTATTGTTTTCTATACCTTTCCCCCTTTTGTTCCTTTTCATTCCCTTCCTTTTGTCCTACTTCCTTCCATATTTTTTGTTTCTTTTGATTGCAGATCACATGGTTAAAGCATATACACCCTTAAAATGCTTGCATAAAATTAACAGTAGATGGTAATATTTAATAAAAGCATTACTGTGAAGACCAAAGTATTTAGGACTATGGAATGTCCTCTTACATGAAAGTTTGAAAGCTGGTTAGGTGCAACCTATGAAAGGGCCAAGATAAGATTAAAATCTTCAAGGCTGGTATCCATGTTGAAAATACCATACCAACTTTATTTATGAAGCACTTTATGCACCGGACAGGACCAAAGTGCTGTACACAATCATAAAATACAATAAAATTATAAAATAGAAAAACAAAACGAGTGTAAAATACTTATTAGTATACAAACAGAATAAAACAAAGTAAAACCTCTCAAATTGTGCCAAATGTGTGTATGTGAGTCCAGGACAGATCACAAAAATCTTCAAGTTCAACCTAACACTTTAATGTTTTTGTATTTGACATAGTGCATAGTGTAGAAATGAAATAATTCTGTCAAATCAAAATGACAACGCAAAATACTTAAACTGCATGTGCAATTCACACACAAAAAAAACATCACAGATCGTAGAAATAGAAAAATAAAACATATAAAATTTGAAAAAAGGCATTTCAAACGAAGGGAAATGACAACAAAAACAAATAGAACTGAAACACTACTGTAACCCCAAAACTACATCTTGTAGCTTCATTTGGCTTTTAGCCATCATTAGTTACTGCTGTGTTGCACTGAAGTGGTGGTGTTATCCATTTCTATTAGTAGGAGATCCAAAATGATTGTAATCAATATCAGTATAGTATACACACCGACATGCTGTTTGGTTAGAAACTCACGAATGCGGATTTTAGTCAAATAACCACAAATTGAAACATTTCAGTACTACAGTACACTTCCACTGAAGCAGATGGCACCCATTCTATACATGGGCTATGACGACGTTACATCTATCTCAGGAGCAAAATGCACTGCAGAGATTACGTAAAGCTGGGTTAGAACAAAAACTCCTTATCAGGTAATATCTTCTGGCATCTTGTTAGCTCTTATATTATTTGGGTAAAAATAAGTAAAAACAAGATAATTTAAGGGATTTAAAATACATAAAAAGCCCAGAAACATGCAACATTTCTTGTTAGTGACCATAATTTAATATATTTTTAATTTAATTTATCAAATTTTAGAATTTCCATTGATCTAATAATTTCTTTGGGTAAAATTCTCTGCTTTAATATAGCACTTTATGATTACTATGTTGGAAAGGTCAGCAAACATTAGAAACATTAACCCAAAGGTTTGTGTGAAGCTTTTTTTTGTTTACATAATAGGCTTTTTGGGAGAATAATTCTTAAAACCCTTTACATAAATAAACCAGATGGGCTAAAATACAGTGCATCAAACCTTCATGGTGTCTACAGTCCAAATTATTTTAACCCGTTCTAGCTGAGGTTAGCACCCGCCTTAAACAAGCTGTTATTTCTTTTTGTTGGCAGTGGAGAGTCGGTTTATTCTGGAAACGACATCATGCAACAATAACAAAAACTTCTAGCAGGGTCACACCACCTCCCGAGACTTCCTGATGGCACAGCACAGAAGCATGCTGAAGATCAACTCGAACACCTGATGGAGAGAGACAAAGCTTATATTACCAATGGTAGATAGGTGCCTTAGGAATCTTGAGATACATTTTTTTCAAAACAATTTAAATGATCTACCCACTGACTACAAATTGTTCTGGGGTTGGCTTGCATGGGCAGCAATTAGTGTAGGGAAGCCTTTTTTCAGCTCTTTTGGGTGAAGCCCATGGTGTTCTTAGACCATCTGAGGGACAAAGTCCCTCCAGGGTGAACTGGGCTTTCCTCTGAGTCTTTTCTCAGCTGCTCTCACAGCTCAGCCCTAACGGTTCAACTCTCACAGTTAAGCACTCCTAGCTCTGCTCTCACAGCTCCGCTCTCATAGGCTACGTTCACACTTCAGGCCTTGATGCTCAATTCCGATTTTTTTGTGAAGTCCAATTTTTTTTGTGTTGCCATTACATTTCCAAATATATGCGACTTGTATGTGATCTCTGTGAACTGCAGTCATACAACACAAGTGTCCTGAATGCACAGTAGAGGACGCAATGACGTCACAGGCCAGCGTGTACTGTGTTTACGGAAGTAAACATGGATGGTAGTGCCGGAGCACATCTAGCGATCTTTCCCAACCATAAAAACACAATCTTTTCAAGATGGTTAAACATAAATCCTGCTCTATACATCATCGTACGCCATGGCTGTTGTTTTTCTTGCCGCTTCTTCATAGCAAGACCCAGATTAGTGATCTTTGTCGGGTATTAATGGCGTTCAGGTCGGATGAATGCGACCTGGCCGTTCAGACACAGGTCACATTTGAAATTATCAGATTCTTATCGGATTCTGGAGCACATAGCCAAGTGGCCTGGGTCGCATTGGAACAAATCTGATCTGTGTTGTTCAGACTGCCTTGAAAAGATCAGATACAGGTCGCATATGGGCAAAAAAATCAGATTTGGGTCACTTCAGGCTGCAGTGTGAACATAGCCATAATTTTGCCCTCACAGCTCTTCATTCACAGCTCCGCCATCACAGCTGTGCTCTCACAGCTCCATCCTCCCAGCTTCACCCTCCCAGCTCCGCTCTCCTAGTCCGCTCTCACAATTCCACTCTCGCAGCTCCGGTGCGCCCTCACAGCTCCGCCTTCACAGCTCTGCTCGACCTGAACCACCTTAACTGGCTCCTCTCAATATGGAGGAGCAAAAGCTCTACAGTTTCAGATATTCAACCTTCCCCACTATCTCCAAGGAAGAGCCTAGCCACACCTCACTACATTGATTTTTCAGTCACTATCAGTGTTGGAAAGCAGTAAAGTACATTTACTTGATTACTGTACTCATGCTTTCCTTCTTCCATCACTCTTGAAAAAGACCCCAAGATAATTGAATTCCTCAACTTGAAGCACTTCCTATAGCAGGAGGACAGACCACCATTTTCCAAGGACCACAGAGATCAGGGCATGACGAGGCCAACAGAGCCGGTTTAATTGCAACTAGCAGAGAGAATCCTGAAGCCATTTAGAGATTGAAATTCTTTGGCTGTGTTATCTTATTTTCTTGCAGGAAGGTATGTATTAAGGTATTAAGTACGTTATCCCCATCATTCTGTTTCTTGTTGAAGAAAATCTCCCAACATTCTTAAGCTGCCAACCAGTTTTCACAGTGGACTTGATGTTTAAAAAGCAAGGATCCATGTTACTTTTTTACACAGTATTTTGCGTCGACCAGAGCACTTTTTTTCCCATATGTTTGCTGTGTCTCCTACATGAATCTTAAAAAATGCAAAGGGTCTTCTATGGCTTTCTTTTTCTATAAGTTCTGTTTTGGAGAGCACATACTTCACTTATTTTGACAATGTGTTCTATAAGTTAGGTCATTGGCTGTTTTTTTTTTTGCAGTGGGATCCTCTTCTTGCCGAGTCTGTCAGCTGAGGTGAGTGGCCATGTATTTTTAGTTTATGCCATGTTCTTTCTTGTTGAAGTTGAAGTTCATTGTTTTATATCCCAGTTCTGTTTTAACTTCTCCTCTTTCATCGCGTGCGTGGTTTCTTGGAATTATGATAAAAAGTATCATTTCTTTTCTACTTCCTATCCGTATGCTGCAGGTTATACAACCTTAAGGAGATTCTTTACATTTTTTGGCTGCAACATAACACAATGTACAAAAGGTTCAAACAGGATTAGTACTTTTGCACACATCTGTAAATTATACACAACTATGAAGGCCTCTTTTATGTCCCATACTAGTGAAATTAATTAAACATGTAGCTGTTAAGTTACAGAAAGGCAATACGACATAAGGCCACTGAATATTCAGGGATTTTTTGCTAAAGATACACTCACCGTAACAACTGCAATGGTGATTCCAACTCCTCCAATAATGTGCAACTTAGAATCAAGCACGTCTTCGATGGCTTTAGGGCAGCCCTGCAAAAGATCAGTGAAATTCAGTTGCCTGTCTTTATACCATGTTCAAAAACAGATAAACATAGAGCATGCAAACAGCATTAAAAAGAGGTTACCCTGGAGACATAGCCTTAACTCTTATAACACACATCTAAAAAGTCACACCTGTAACTAGTGATGGACCAATACAGGTTTTTCAAGGCTGATGCTTATATATTCTGCAAATACTTTAGGGCCGTTTTTATAACCAACATGTTTCCTTCCTATATTTACATGATAAACATGGCACAATGATAATCAATGTTACACAAGTATAAATTTAAACCAAAAAGAAACATGTGACAACATTACAATCAAACAAAACATTAACAATGGAAAGTAAAAAGAAGGTCTCAGCAGTGCATGCTCTTCACATGATCTCCAGGCATGGAAGCTGAATGTACTAATGAATTTCTGAATGCATACACACATTAGATGATTCTGATTCAAGAAAAAAAAAACGGGGTCATGGTCGTACCTTTATAATGAACTGGTCAAGCGTATCTGCTCGAGGACAAATTTCGTGGTCGGTTTCTGTGATCATACCATTTGGGCCACAGCAGTACAGCTGGAAACAGACAACACTTTAATATAAAATAACAAGTCTGCAGTTTTTAAAGAAATACTCTAAACATTAGATCTAAGAGTCTCTGAAACGTTCTCAGTAAAGCCAAGCTAGGGATATGCTGGAACAATTTATACGCTCGTATTGGCTTCTGTTGCAGCAGTATCATATCTTTGCAATGTTGTGCAAAACACCTTTCAGATTAAGCTGCACGCTTATCAAATACGGAAAAGACTTGCAGTATACACCAACCTAATTTAGTAAAACATTTAGTTGCTATCAAAATTCTCTAAATAATACATAATAGATTTGATATTCAGAAAGCAGCAGTTATGTCAAAGATGTCTCACCCCTTCATGGATCAAAAGCAGAGTCTTTTTGAGGGGTTCATCCCTTGTTTTCTTGTAGTTATCGTATGTCGTTCTATAGAATCCAACAATGTTATCCACCACCTGCAACCCAATCACAACCATGGTGAAGAAAAAACATGTCATTTCCAAATGACAGTCATCATGCCTTAGAAAAACAGATTAGCATATAGCAGTGCTCTTATGTTTCCTACATGTCATTGACTAAACTTGATAAAGCACAGTGGACTAACCCCAACTGAATCCTCCCCAAGTCCTCATCAACTATTGAAACTTCATACTGGATCTAAAAAAAACTGCCTTCAATTTCCGAGCAAAATGGAAAATTTGCTTTCATTTGAAATTAGAATTTGGACAATTTAGCAACAGCTCAATCCTTTTTCTCCTTTGTCCTGGTAAGACATTCCTTAGTTCCTTGGTTTGGGTTTTCATCAACACTTTTACCTTCCACTCAGCTTATTGTTAATATGAGATGGCAACACCAAGGAAAATGTTGAAAAGAAGTACTTAGGTATGCTTGTATGTGTTATCTTTTTTGTTATTCTACATGGTTGTACTTTCCACATTTCCTTTTAGATCTATGGTTAAAATCAATAAAATATACACATGGATACAGCAGCCATTTTTTTTTAGCAAGCATTCCTTTGGTCAACCCCCCTTGTTAAGGGTGGCACTGACTGCTCGACAAGTATAATATCAGCAGTCTACCTGGTCATTATACCTTTCTGCATTAAAAATTATTCTGTTTTGCTCTTACAGAATACTTTAATTTCCTGGGTAAATAAACTTGGGTTTTTCAATAGCTGTAAGGTATAATCAATAACTTAGCAAAAATACATATTTTTAATATGTCCCTGCATACTGTATATATATACACTATATTGCCAAAAGTATTTGCTCACCTGCCTTGACTCACATATGAGCTTAAGTGACATCCCGTTCCTAATCCATAGGGTTCAATATGACGTCGGTCCACCCTTTGCAGCTAGAACAGCTTCAACTCTTCTGGGAAGGCTGTCCACAAGGTTTAGGAGTGTGTTTATGGGAATTTTTGACCATTCTTCCAGAAGCGCATTTGTGAGGTCGCACACTGATGTTGGACGAGAAGGCCTGGCTCTCAGTCTCCGCTCTAATTCATCCCAAAGGTGTTCTATCGGGTTGAGGTCAGGACTCTGTGCAGGCCAGTCAAGTTCATCCACACCAGACTCTGTCATCCATGTCTTTATGGACCTTGCTTTGTGCACTGGTGCACAGTCATGTTGGAAGAGGAAGGGGCCAGCTCCAAACTGTTCCCACAAAGTTGGGAGCATGGAATTGTCCAAAATGTCTTGGTATGCTGAAGCATTCAGAGTTCCTTTCCTTGGAACTAAGGGGCCAAGCCCAGCTCCTGAAAAACAACCCCACACCATAATCCCCCCTTCACCAAACTTTACACTTGGCACAATGCAGTCAGACAAGTACCGTTCTCCTGGCAACCGCCAAACCCAGACCCGTCCATATGATTGCCAGATGGAGAAGCGCGATTCGTCACTCCAGAGAACGCGTCTCCACTGCTCTAGAGTCCAGTGGCGGCGTGCTTTACACCACCGCATCCGACGCTTTGCATTGCACTTGGTGATGTATGGCTTGGATGCAGCTGCTCGACCATGGAAACCCATTCCATGAAGCTCTCTGCGCACTGTTCTTGAGCTAATCTGAAGGCCACATGAAGTTTGGAGGTCTGTAGTGATTGACTCTGCAGAAAGTTGGCGACCTCTTCGCACTATGCGCTTCAGCATCCGCTGACCCCGCTCCGTCAGTTTACGTGGCCTACCACTTCGTGGCTGAGTTGCTGTCGTTCCCAAACACTTCCATTTTCTTATAATACAGCTGACAGTTGACTGTGGAATATTTAGGAGCGAGGAAATTTCACGTCTGGATTTGTTGCACAGGTGGCATCCTATCACAGTTCCACGCTGGAATTCACTGAGCTCCTGAGAGTGACCCATTCTTTCACAAATGTTTGTAAAAACAGTCTGCATGCCTAGGTGCTTGAATTTATACACCTGTGGCCATGGAAGTGATTGGAACACCTGATTCCAATAATTTGGATGGGTGAGCAAATACTTTTGGCAATATAGTGTATATATATATATATATATATATATATATATATATATATATATATATATATATATATATATATATATATATATATATATATATATATATATATATATATATATATATTTATAATCTATATAATGTGTAAGTTTGGCTTTTTGAATGATGTGAATCAGAAGTTCTATGATATTCTGATATACAGAGAGGAACCTCCATTTGAACTGTTTCCTTTTTCTTTTATTCTCAAAAGTCAGGATGTCTATATTGAGAACATAGTAATTAGTTTACCTCGTTCTGCTTAGAAAATCCCCAGATTCCAGCTCCTACCTCGATGGCAAATATGATCAGCAGGAAGAAAAAGAACTGCACAGAGAAATATACAATTCAACTCAGCTGAGAATTTTGGAACCATACATGCTTGTGTGCCAGTGTTATGTACGCATGTGCGGAATGCAAGGTCAGTGGAGTGAAGCCAACCCCAGTTTCCATTTGCCCCTCCTCCAGGGATATTTAGAGCAAGCAGATTATGGCATGGGGGCGGTCAAGCACAAATCGAGACTCTCTTATGGCCTTGAGACCATTTAGTAAACAATAATGAAAGCAGGCATCTTATTACTGAACTAGGGATTCCAAAAGCTATGTATACAAAAAAACGTTTCAGAGAAAAAAGAATATATAAAACTTCACAGGACACAAATGTCTATGAAAATGAGTACCTGCTAATATGAAAAACACTGTTTTGAAAGCCAAAGTTTCTTCATCAGTAGGAGGGTAGAAATTTTTTTACTTCTTTTGTTTCTGTTTTTATTGAAATTAATAACGTACTATTTTTTTTGTTATAACCCTAAAGGTTTTAATCAAATTAAATGTGATCAGTTTTCTTTATTATGAGTAATAAGTTCCTCATCAACTTATCCCTGCATGACAGATAGCGTTTTATAGCTGCTGTTGCTATAAACTGGTCTTATGCAAATTATAAACAAATCCAGTCACACAAGTAACACACAACTTGAAAACTACTCAGCTCTCTAAATGTCAATTTAAGCTTTAGGGGCAGTTTGATTAAGAACAGTAAGGGTTACAAACCACTCCAAGCATCCATGGTGATTCCTGAATTGCTCCACAACATCCCAGGAAGCCCACCACCATCATAAGCACACCAGCTCCAATCAGGATATAAACACCTAAATAAAAATACAAAAAACAATAACACATGAATCAGCACACAGAATTCAAACTTTAAATGATAATGCCTGACATCTTCTGAGCGTGTCTTACCTGTGTAAAAGACAACGGGAGAATCTGGTCCTTCAAACAGGCCCTTGGTTTTTGAGTCCAGTTTCAGCCACAGGCCTATTCCCAATACAGCAGTGCCTGTAAGCTATAAAACATTATGTACATTAGTATAAACAATGCAACAATTAGCACTAAATCAACACTGCATGCTTTCCTCAACTTTCACTTTTTTAGCATTTTCGTGCATACCTTAAATGTCATCAAAGTGCTGTTAACAACAGGCTCCAACAGGTTTAAGCAGCTCCTCTTGAATCTGCCCCGACATGCCCTGCTTAATGTTTTCCTTGTACTTGTTTAACCCCTATTCTGACTTGAAGCACGTCTCTGCAGTTGTGATAAATGTTAAAATCCTTTGTGGTAAACACTTAAGACCCATAATGGACCAATCCTCATAAATTTCTAATGCAATCAATGCCTTTAATCCCAGAAGAGTCCTTTAATTCAACAGCTGTATATATTGTTAGACAAAACAACAACAGTAGATATGCATCAGGAGGCACTTAGCGGGGGTTTTACGTCTTGCATGGGTCTTGAATTAATTAATATTTACCATTCTATGATGAACACACAGTTATAAACATTATAAACACACACAAATTAGTAAACTTTATCTTTTGGAAAAATGGCCTGTGTGTGACCTCTTGCTTTTTTTTCACTTAGGAAAGTGAAACTCACTGAGGTTTCCCCACTTTGACCTCATAGTCATCCTACCTTTGTTTCTCAGGTTCATTTTGGTCTCCCTATAGTCCAATAAAATCACTTACCCTCGGGTGGTACACATTTAGCATGCATTTAAAACAGCTTTTCCTCATCATTCTCAACCTTTTACAGAATAGAAAAATAAAGCACACCTACCATGAACAAAATGTTGAAGATAAAAATAACATATTTTAAACACTTGATCCCCCCAGGAAGAGCCATGCTGAATCACTGTGCCAAAGTCTGCTGTTCTGAGCGTATAGCTTCTGCCCAAGAGGAAGCAGAGTGTGTTGTGGTGTTGAACTACAGAAATGTTTGGGACACCACGCCTTCAGTCACCTGATTATACAGTTAGGAGTGGCAAGAACTCACAGCTGCAGAAACTAACCTTTACACCATTAAGTCAAAAGGAATTCCAACTCTGTTTTCCCTCCCTTTACGTTTTTAAGTGTTTCCATTGTGTTACCTAAAAAAACAATAAATAAACTTTTCACACAGTCCAGAGGGCTGCTCAGAGGGTTCCTGTTCAGGCATGTTATTATTTTCTGAGTATTTTCCAACATGCCTTCTCGGCAGCATATTCACTGCTCCATCAACTACATGGAGGGCAACTATGATCTAGGTTTTGGAAACATGATTGTTATGCTACGACACTTAAGCCAGTTGTAGATATAATCAAACATAGCAGCCGCTTAGGGCCCCCCACTAGGAGACAGACCCCCAAAAATGGAGCGTTCTGCTCTTTTTCGTTATATTTGTAATAAAATTTGCTTGAAATAAAGTGCCAAAAGATTCAGTGCTGTGAAAAAAGTATAACTTTCAAACATGTTCTTCTCTTCTGCTCTTCTGTCAGCTATACATGTTACCAAAGGTTAAACAAATTTTAAGACTAAGATAGAAGATAATGCAAAGAGTTTTTTGATTCTCTTTATTATAGTATAAAAGCTTTTCAAACCTGTTAGAACACATGTGAAAAGGTAATTATATCCTAACCCCATGCAGCACTACCAACAGCCCTTCATGCAGTATATCATTGTGGAGGAACCTTGGCCTAAACTTCCTTCCAGTTTTGTTTCATTTCAGCCAAACTGAAAGTTTTTGGAGCGTTGGCTGTTTTTTTCTGGGTTTTTTTTGTGTTTTTTTTTTAAATGAAAATGTGAGGTAGTTTTGCTAAAGATTTTATCTTGGACCTCTCCCACTGCTGCTATTTTTAACCAGCCTCCTCATATTTCTAAATCATGAACAGTAAACTTAAGAGAAGAAACAGGGCTGTGAGAATTTAGGTGTTATGGCCTCCTAATGAGTTGGGCACTCCCAGAATAATTTTGGTAAACCGGCCACTCCTTCAAAGGTTTACAACAACCCCATGTTTTCTTAATTTGTGGATGTTGGCTATCATGGAGGTTTACTTGTGTTCCAAACCCGTTCCAAACCCAATGATATGAAACGCTTTCAGATGTCAAAGAAATTTTTTTTTTTTCAGATTCTTTAAATCTGTCATGTTGGTTTGTATTTTTTATTTTTTTACCCACATGAAGAATCAGAAGGAGAACCAGTGAGTTTTAACATTTTATTTACAAAAAACAACAAGAATCCTGAAGTCAGTTGAACTTTTTGGTTGGTCAGAGGGGACAAAGCAGACTGATCAGGGAAGAGTTGTTTGACTACAACTGAACACTGAAGAGAGATTAGTCTGCTTAATCCCCTCAAACCAACCAGAAAGTTCAACTGACTCCCTGCAGTTCTCCACTCCCAGATTCTTCTTGCTTTTTGTAAATAAAATGGATTTGAGTCAAAAAACTTCAAACCAACATGACAGAAACTGAGATCCTCTGATGATAGTCAGAGGTGATCATCCAAGAGGAGAGATGATCCTTTGCCTACTTATATACTCGCTAGTCATCTTGATTGAGAAATGTTCTCAGGTGTGCACTAACACAGCCACCAGCAAAGATCCTCTCACTAACAGGATGCTCACTCACACCAGAGACCCTAACAAGATTAGAGCATACAGGTGCTGGTCATAAAATTAGAATATCATGAAAAAGTAGATTGATTTCAGTAATTCCATTTAAAAAGTGAAACTTGTATATTATATTCATACATTACATACAAACTCATATATTTCAGATGTTTATTTTGTTTAATTTTGATGATTACAAATGACAACAAATGAAAATCTCAAATTCATCATATCAGAAAATTAGAATATTACTGAAGACCAATAAAAACAAAGGATTTATAGAAATGTTGGCCAACTGAAAAGTATGAACATGAAAAGTATGAGCATGTACAGCACTCAGTATTTAGTTGGGCCTCCTTTGGCCTGTATTACTGCAGCAATGCGGCGTGGCATGGAGTCGATCAGTCTGTGGCACTGCTCAGGTGTTATGATAGCCCAGGTTGCTCTAATAGTGGCTTTTAGCTCTTCTGAATTGTTGGGTCTGGTGTATTGCATCTTCTTCTTCACAATACCCCATAGATTTTCTATGGGGTTAAGGTCAGGAGAGTTTGCTGGCCAATTAAGAACAGGGATACCATGGTCCTTCAACCAGGTACTGGTAGCTTTGGCACTGTGTGCAGGTGCCAAGTCCTGTTGGAAAATGAAATCTGCATCTCCAAAAAGTTGGTCAGCTGCAGGAAGCATGAAGTGCTCTAAAACTTCCTGGTATGTGGCTGCGTTGACCCTGGACCTCAGAAAACACAATGGACCAACACCAGCAGATGACATGGCACCCCAAACCATCACTGACTGTGGAAACTTTACACTGTACTTCAAGCAACGTGGATGAAGTGCCTCTCTTCTTTTCCTCCAGACTCTGGGACCTTGATTTCCAAAGGAAATGCAAAATTTACTTTCATCAGAGAACATGACTTTGGACCACTCACCAGCAGTCCAGTCCTGTTTCTCTTTAGCCCAGGCAAGACGCTTCTGACGCTGTCTGTGGTTCAAGAGTGGCTTGACACAAGGAATGCGACAGCAGAAACCCATGTCTTTCATACGTCTGTGTGTGGTGGTTCTTGAAGCACTCACTCCAGCTGCAGTCCACTCTTTGTGAATCTCCCCCACATTTTTGAATGGGTTTTGTTTCACAATCCTCTCCAGGGTGCGGTTATCTCTCTTGCTTGTACACTTTTTTCGACCACATCTTTTCCTTCCCTTCGCCTCTCTATTAATGTGCTTGGACACTGAGCTCTGTGAACAGCCAGCCTCTTTAGCGATGACCTTTTGTGTCTTGCCCTCCTTGTGCAAGGTGTCGATGGTCGTCTTTTGGACAACTGTCAAGTCAGCAGTCTTCCCCATGATTGTGTAGCCTATAGAACTAGACTGAAAGACCATTTAAAGGCTTTTGCAGGTGGTTTGAGTTAATTAGCTGATTAGAGTGTGGCACCAGGGGCCATCAATTTTGAACCTTTTCACAATATTCTAATTTTCTGATATGATGAATTTGAGATTTTCATTTGTTGTCATTTGTAATCATCAAAATTAAACAAAATAAACATCTGAAATATATGAGTTTGTATGTAATGTATGAATATAATATACAAGTTTCACTTTTTAAATGGAATTACTGAAATCAATCTACTTTTTCATGATATTCTAATTTTATGACCAGCACCTGTACTTTATGTTGTATGCATCCATTTAAAAAGTTTCTTGATCATACGTTTAATTAATCATTAATTAGAAATGGGGAGAAGGTGGTTACAGTATCATTTTGTGGATTTGAGTTAGCTTTCTTTGGATTATCTTCAATTTTCAGTCAGTTTTTCACCAATGTGTATTTTTTTTTCTTTTAGGTAATTTAAAGGAACAATAACTTGCTGCTGCAGAAAACGATATGTTTTGAATATGTAATATTGGTACATTTTACAAGTTCTGTTAATATAGAAATCACATGAAATGTCTCATATGATTCAAGGCTTGCTTATTTTATGTCATGGTCCATAAGTGTAAATGTTTACATTGCTCTTGCCAATAACCATCAGAGAGTTTTGTGCATGTTGATTACATTTCCTCTGAAATCGCAACCAAGGATAATGTGAGCTGCTCTATTCTGAACTGTTTATTTGCACATTTTGCACAATACTGACCATTTCTGTATTTGACCAGACCACTTTGCAGTAGTTGAGATTTGGAAAGGGTAAATTATTAATTCGGCAGATGGGTCACTTCCCATTTTCTAACCATTGTTTGTAGCTTTCTGTTTCAATGATAACTCCTTGCAGTTTTTTTTTTCTCATAATGGAATAATCTATAGCCACGCTTCCATCGACATAGATATAGACAGTTTTAAATGCACATATTTATAAGATACCAGATGGGAGACACAATTTCTTTGCAAAAAAATTTCTTGAGGCTTCCCATAAAGGTTGTCAATAACTGGTGTTTTATTTCTACTTGTTTTCAATATATTTTCTACTGTTTATTACAGTATATTTCCTTTATTAAAATGAAAAAAACATTCTGTATCTTTTATTATTTTTACTAAATTATATATGACATAATATGAATATGATATCTAATTATTTTATTTATTAACTTTACATATGAAGCATTTATAAAAAGCAAACTCTTATGGTCAAGTGAAACAACTCCATAAATGTAGTTTGAGACGTTAAACCCCTGAGTTCATTTATTGTCTTCTACTCAGTCAATTTCAACAAATATAATCCCTTTTTCTTTGGTTCTATTTATTTATTTTTGTGTTCATTTTCTATCATTTACAATATATTATCCAACTCAACTAATATTCTGTTAGTATAGCAGTTTCCTTGCAACTCTTTGCTTCATCAGATCTTTAGTTTTGTGATCTAACCACTGTTACCTACTGACATTAGAATATATACAAAGTTCTTCAGAAATTCATTTGGATTCAATACTTTTAGAACTTTCCAACTTAATTATCTTCTCTGTAAAGCATATGATTTTTTAAATCTTATATGAACTTTGGAATATTGTTTCATGTCTAGATTTTGGATTTTTTTCTTCAGTCCTACTGCCACCATGTTATGATCATTGCAGCCAATAGTCACTAAAGAAGTAGCAAGACATTCTTCAGGTGCATTTTTATTGTGAGGTAGTTTCGCTAAAGATTTTATCTTGGACCTCTCCCACTGTTGCTATTTTTAACCAGCCTCCTCATATTTATAAATCATGAACAGTAAACTTAAGAGAAGAAACAGGGCTGTGAGAATTTAGGTGTTATGGCCTCCTAATGAGTTGGGCACTCCCAAAATAATTTTGGTAAACTGGCCACTCCTTCAAAGGTTTACAACAACCCCATGTTTTCTTAATTTGTGGATGTTGGCTATCATGGAGGTTTACTTGCGTAAAGAATACAACCCTAACACTAAATGCATGACTATCTCTCATATATTGCATCCGCTTATCTTAAGAAAACTGTTGTCACAAGAGGCACCTCTGTTCCCGATAGTGCTAGC